GTCGCTATAAAATCCGAACAGCGTAACCTCCGGGAACGCGGGAGGGGGACGAGTGTGTAGGGGTTGGCGGGGGTGGAGGGAGAGAGAAAGGAGGCGGAAGGCGGAGTATGGCGAAAGTTACACGGCGGAAAATATACAGCGGCGCTTTTAGGAAGTTGGGATTATCGGAAAAGCGGGTTCGAAACGCGAGTTACCGCCAAGGCGGATCCTCGTGAAAACTCAGTGGCGAAGTTGCTTCCGGGGCTCGATTCGGCCATTGGAGAAAGCGGCCGGCTGTAATAGTCGTTCTCCTCGTAGAAGCCCGCCCCCATGGAAAAGCTATAGCCAGGTTACGGCTAAACACGCGCGCCGGCCGCGTGGTCTTGCTAAGTTTCGAAACATCAGTTGGCGAGGATAGCGTCGCGGTTTAAGCTCCTTTCGTTCTAGATCGATATCACCCACGTTTTCTCCTTCCCGATCGAGACTTACATACGCGATAAATAAGATCTAGGGGAAAGGATGCTGATATTGTAGGATTATTGCTGGATAAATCCTCTGCAGACAGAGATCTTCTGCTTTAATAAACAACGACTCCTTTTTAACCCTTTGCACTCGAGAGGTGAGCTTCAGTCACCGTTTCATAAAATTTGGAAGATCGATATTAATTAATATATCAAATTTAATGTAATGTGACAGATATCGAAATCAAATAATTCTACAATTCTGTTATTATACAATGTTTTATTTACTGCTCAAAGGTGTATCGTCAGTTGTTTAGTACAAATTCTTTGAATTTCTACTTTTCTCTAGCCAAAAAATCGTCGAGTACAAAGGGTTAACAACAAACAGGTTTATTTAAATTGAGATATTACTCTATCTTTCCCTCGAACCACGTGTGAGGGTCGTGGTCTGGTTTTTGAGCCAAAACTGATTATCACGAGCCTGGCCCGTGGTACATTGATCGGGCCAAAACTGACTATCACGGGCCTGGCTCGTGGTACGTCGACCGAGCCGAAAGTTACCACCACGTGTCACGCCCATGGTTTGTTGATGTGCCCCATTTTAATTATTATCAAATACCGATATTATTTCCTTTGCTAAAGTCCTTACAGCTCGTAATATCGCAATATAGTTGACATTATTCGGTGCACGGAGTCAGTAGCGTATAAAGAATCGCTGGGATCGTTCGTTTTCGTGGAAGTTACGGAGAAATCTCTTGGAAAAATCACCGAAGATCACGCGGAATCCTTCGTATATTCCGTAGTCCCTTTATATCCCATTCATCCCTCTTTGTAGACAGGGTGACGTCCTCGCTTTGCGGGCCTTGTCACTCGGATCTGCTGATGTCGCGTCTACCAGACGTCGAAGAGCGAACCTTCGCGATGACCTCTTCTTTTCGACGGCTTTATGGAAGGTCAACATTTGCGGAACGCATCCGCGAGGTTTCCAAACTTTCGTCGCTGAGTAACCAGCATGAACCTAGTCCCTCTCCGGGTCTGCCTAGTTTAGGCCAAGAGACACGCAAACAGCAACCACGCGCTGGCAAATATCGGTGTCGTTTGTTCGTGGATGCGAAAATGGAAAATAGAGGCAAGCGAGTTTCGAGATGATCGATGACTAGAAATGGCGGAACGGAGGGTAATGGCAGGGACGGGGGTCTCTTAAGATTTTTCCATTTTTCTTGGCACCGTTCTTGGGATGTTGTAATTTTGTCCGTAGGAGTATCTAGAAGAGGCTCTCGCGGAACGGTTGACCTTATATCGCGAGGTAAATAGCTGAACGTCGTGCAGAAGGGAGTTTATTAACTTTCGTGTTTTCGTGTCCTCGAAATTAAAACTCGGGCAGCTTAAAGTTTCCATCCGGTTATCGCGTGTGCCTGAAATACGAGTGGACGAGTAACGATTTTACAGTTGAATTAGGAAGTTTCAATAGCTCCGACTTCGTTCCAGTTCGAAAATATTTGAGAACGGGAATTAATGAATAATGGAGGGCATAAATTCTTGTAGCGCGCCCCGGCGAGCGAGATTGCAATGATTTCCGGCGTTAAGCTTCCTGTCCGGGGGAATCAAAGAATCAAGAAAAATTGGCGGTCGTGATCGTTCTTATCAGCGACTTTGCAACGAAGGAAACGTAGCGTTGGAGATATGACTGAAAATATCACTAACACGAAGATGGAACGTGCCACACGTACGACCGTGATATTTTATGAGATAGCAACGATAATCACGTCTATAGAACTTCCGCGATAGTTTCAATTTCTTGCTGACGTTATCGATATTTCATCGGAATGGATTTTGATCTAACATTTTAACGTGATCTAAACTGAAAATTGTAAATAACAGAATGCGATACGTTTCCGATTTCCTCGTGTTACCGAAATTAATTACCACGATCTGTCGGAGTTCGATAAAATATCGCGAAGAGCAATCACGGATCTTGATTGAAAAGTGCAATATTTGTCGAGGTATAAACCAGAACTTTCTCAGCTCGCTGATTTATTTGCTTACTCGGTTACCGTTGAAATGCTATTACATCTATTATATCTTATTGTAACACGGGTACAGATGTTCTCTGTTATTTTTATGAATAAATACCGCGAAAAAGAGAACGCGAAAATTGGAAAAATCCTTTAAGCAGAGTACTTATACTCGGGAATGGTGCATTAAACGGAACCCTTCTACAGAATCGAACACCCGGAGCACCTGTGCCAACACGACGTCGACTCGAGAGCTAGAATTACGGGTTCCGGTTTTATTGAATCGAAACATCCAGATGCTATAACTTTCTCACCGGCGGACCAATTTGTCGATCGCGATAAAATTGAACGTTCTCCGATTTGCATGTCGCGCCGTGTCCATCCGGATGGTCTATTACACCTTTGAAATTTGAATCGCGTCAGGAAACTCCGTATGCAAACGAACACGGGGAATCCGGTATTACCGGAGAGCCGGCAAAGTGTCCCTGTGAAACGTCCGATCGCCGTTCGTGTTACGATCCTGGCTAATAAGTGACCGCTATGTTTCAGGCGTACGTTGATTTGGTGAAGGCCTGGGGCTGGAAGAGCTTCACCATCATCTACGAGAATAACGAAGGGTTGGTGCGGTTGCAGGAGCTGCTCAAGGCACACGGACCCAGTGAATTCCCTATTACGGTCAGGCAGCTCAGCGAGGGTGCTGAATACCGGTGAGTTTTCTGACGTTGTCCGCATTAGGCTGAAGGAACTCGAATGGCAGAGTTCTATCAGGGGTTGGTTCGATCGATTGTCGGGCGAGTGTTCGATTTCTTCCGCAGTAAATACCGTCGACCGCCTTCGACGGGAATGAA